GATGCTGCCTGGCCTGCTGTGTCCCTCCAGCTCCACACTGTGTTATCACTGGTCACACAGGTTATTTTCTGTAGAACTGCAACACGCAATCTTCCAGGAAACCTTGCTGACTATTTTGTCTCCTATTTCCTTTAGATGTGTCCCACGCTAACTTAGTGGCTCTGATCCTGGCAGGCTGGCATTAGCCAGTGCTGCACACATGCCAGAAATCAAAGCAGGTGTTCTCAGTGCCACGCCTGGGGCTGTACTCACCGCCCTCTCCCTCCCTCAGCTCAACAAAACTTCCTGAGGGGAGGACAGCTCCTACCCTCTGCCATACAATCAGTGCTGCGCTGACGAGCGTCAAAGTATGTTCAGTTAATTGCCTGAAGGAGCAGATGAGTTGCCAGCCCGTGGTTAGTGATGAGTGAGCCACTGGTTTTCTTCAGGATATTGATTCTCTGCCAAGCAGCTCGCAGCTGTATAAAGATGGCATCAAACAAACATGATGTACGTGCAGATATTAGACCGGGGTTTCAGAGTGCCTGTATTATGTTCCTCTGGGATGTGGTTTACTGCTCTGCAAACTTGGCATCACTCTCTACGAGCACAGAGTTATTGGACAAAAGAATGTGTTAGCCGCTATATATGCGGTAGTCACGCAAGAAACTCTACCCTCTTCTTTGAATACTCAGGTAAGAGAAAGGGATGGACGGAGAGATGGGGGTGGGGGGTGCAGGGGGGCGGAGAGGCAAATGGCACAGGAACAGAGGAAGAGGGACAGGGAACAAGGGAGACAGAAAGGGAGAGACATCACCCGTCCCACTACTACTCTCTGGGAGGATGAATAGCTGTTAATGGGAACTGTTGGTGTCTAACAATAGGTAGTGTGTAATGGCAGGCTATGCGATAACAAGGCCCGGTGTGTGGGGTAGGGGGCTAGGACATGGGAGAGTTTAGGCTCTAAAATTATTGAACACGATATTAAGTCAAGAGGGCTGCAGGGTCTCCAAATGAAAATGAGGTGCTGTTCTTCCAACTTCTGTTGAGCTTCGCTGGAACACTGCAGCAAGCCTGAGACAGAGATGTTAGCCAGGGAACAGGGTAGTGTGTTAAAATGGCAGGCAACTGGAAGCTCAGGGTCTGTTTTTGCGAGCAGAACATAGATGTTTTGCAAAGCGGTCACCCAGCCTATGCTTTGTTTCCCCAATGTAGAGGAGACCACATTGTGAGCAGCGAAGAAGGTGAATTGCTGCTTCACCTGGAAGATATATTTGGGGCCCTTGGATACTGAGGAGGGAGAAGGTAAATGGGCAGGTATTACACCTTCGCCGGTTACAGGGGAAGGTGCTGTGGTGCCACGGGGGGAATGTTGGGGGTGAAGGAAGAGTGGACCAGGGTGTCCCGGAGGGAACAGTCCCTGCGGAAGGCGGACAAGGGAGGGGAAGGGAATATATGTGTCTGGTGGTGGCATCTTGCTGGAGATGGTGGAACTGGCGTCTGATGATCTTCTGGATGTGGACGCTGGTGGGATGGTAGGCGAGGACAAGGGGAACCTTGTTGCTGTTGCTGGAGGGAAGGGAAGGGGTGAGGGCAGAAGTGCGGGAGATGGGTCAGACCTGGTTGAGGGTGCTGTCGACAACGGTGCTGGGGAATTCTCAGTTGAGGAAGAAGGTGGACATTTTGGAGGCTCCCTTGCTGAAGTTAGCCTCATCTGAACATATACAACGGAGACGGAGGAGCTGAGAGAATGGGATGGAGTCTTTACAGGAAGCGGGGTATAGTCCAAGTGGCTGTGGGAGTCAGTGGGTTTATACAGGATATTAGTAGCCAGTCTATCCCCAGAAATGGAAACAGATGTTGAGGAAGGGAAGGGAGGAGTCAAGGATAGATCAGGTGAAAGTGAGGGCAGGGTGGACATTGGAAGCTTAATTGATGAACTTTTCCAATTTCAGAGACAGGTCTAAACACACTGAGTGTCGCCTGTCAGTACGGGACAGTGACACAATCATAAACACACCTCCTCACACTGCCTGTTAATACAGCAGTGCAAGATAGGTATAAACATTCTGCCACTGCCTGCCAGTACAGCAGAGTGACGTGGTTACTAACACACAAACATTGCCTGTTAATAAAGCAGGTTGAGGTGAGTATCTGTTAACTGACATCACCCTGTCAATGTAGTATAATGAGGCAGGTATAAGCATACCGACATACCCGTGATTTTCTGAGCTCCTGCGTACGAAGCTGTGTCGGGATTCTAGGTACTGCTTGCCTGTTGTATTGCTGCACTTAGTTAAGGGCTAATTGTCAGTTTAAATACTTGGTAAGCTGCCCACCGTGGTTGAAGTGGGCAGCCCCAACTGCAGAGGACCAGGCTGTGGGCATACGCCCCGGAGCCGGGAATGTTTAGTCAAGCAGGTCTGAGACGCCTTGACCCCCTGTTTCTAAAGTATTTCCTACAGAGCACCCTACCTCCAGAGCTTCTTGTACATGACCTTAGCTGCTGCAAGCTGGCAGTGGCCCTATAGCTTCCTGGCTGCTGGTATTGACAGACCCCAGGGAGACTGACCAATTCTTCCAGAGATTCCAGCTGTCACTCCTGTGCAGGGTTAGTGTGAGTGCTACGTTGTGCCAGTGCTGTCACCTTTTGGATATGATGTTAAACCAATGCTGCATCTCGTGTCCTTTCCCAGTAAGAAACATTACTAGCTTGGTGCAATGCTGAATGTAAGGATTCCTGAAGAGTGGGGCATTATTCAGCCAATTCTTATCCCTCATCCAACATACTGTGGATGCTGGAAGTTGGCAATTCAATCAGAAAATGCTTCAAATCTTCAGCAGGTCAGGGAGCGCTTGGGGTAGATGAGATAGCTGGTGTGACCTTTCATCAGAAACTTTACAGTACAAAAGGAAGCCATTCGACCCATCATGTCTGTACCAGCTCCTGAAAGAGGTGCCCTTCTGGCCTGTTCTCCAGCTCTATCTCTGTAGCCCTCTAACTTCGTCACTTTCAAATATCTCTTTTGAAACCTCGTATGGAACTGAGAAAAGTTAGCAAATTAGGTGAAAATGGGGGTATTGAGGGAAAGAACAGGGGGGGGGGGGGGGGAAGGTCAATGATCTCGTGGAAAGCAGGAGTGACGAAATTTTAGAGGTGTTGATGGTGTTCTCTGATCCCTACCCCTCAGCAAATTTTGTATCCACATTGCTGCTGCCCCTTTTATTCTACAACCCATGAGCTTCCTCACATGTCTGTTCTGTGGCACTGTATCGAACGCCTTTTGGAAGTTCATTATCCCTCATCAAACCCCTTAGTTACCACCACAAAAAAAGTCCCATCGAGGTTAGGAACAAAAACAGAAGTTGCTGGAAAAGCTCAGCAGGTCTGGCAGCATCGGTGAAGAAAAATCAGTTTAAATCTTTTCTTCAGAAAATGAAGGGTCCAGACCCAAAACGTCAGCTTTCCTGCTCCTCTGATGCCTCCAGTTCTACACCTTATTATAGCAGATTTTCTTGCCTGAAGGACATCGGTGAACTGGGTGAGTTTTTCCCTGGCAATTAGTGATAGTTGCACGGTCTCCATTACTGGGATTAGCCTTCAATTCCAGATTTATTGATCAAGTTGAAATTCCACCAGATGTTACGGTGGGTTTTGAACCTGTGCCCCCAGAATGTTAACCCAGCAGCTCCACCATTTCACTCTACATTCTACAGATCAGCTCGACTTGGTGCTTGAACTAGCTCACGGTTTTACCTGGGGGTTGCTGAGTGCTCCGTAGCTGATGCCGGGAGTTGACGGTAGGGTCACCGAGGGGGAGCCTATTGACGAGGTGATGACTGGATACGGAGATCCCAATCCATTCACCGGGGAAGCCAAGCTCCCCATGGAGGAACTGAGAGATCGTGACGCATTCACTGAGGAGCCGATCATTGAATGATGGCCAACCATTGAGTTCACTGTAGAGTGCGGGGGAGGGGAATTCATCGATGTGGAGTTCACTTGTATCGCAGAGTCTGCAGGGAGAAAAGAATTCAGGGTTAGGTGTGTACTCAAATGGTAAAGACATAATGTGACAACAGACCAGAGTGTAGTTCTCTGCACTCTGGAGTCCCTCTTTTGGGATGTGGTCCTTCGCTTTAACATCCACTATGTGGTCAGTTTACATGCCTGCTCTTTCAAAGGCTCCTCAATGGCAGAGAGCACAGCTAAGTCCCATCCTCAACTAAACCCACCCTGTCACGTCTGTTCCAATCCTATCCTCAAATAATCCCACCATGTCCTGTGTGTTCTAATCCCATCCTCCCATAACCCCACCCTGTTCTGCGTGTTCCAATCCCATCCTCCCATAACCCCACCCTGTCCTGTGTTCTGATCCCATCCTCCCATAACCCCACCCTGTTCTGCGTGTTCCAATCCTATCCTCACATAATCTCGCCTGGTCCTGTGTTCCAATCCTATCCTCACATAATCCCACCCTGTCCTCTCTCTTCCAATTCCATTCCCCCATAATCCTACCCTGTTCCTTGGTCTTCAAATTCAATCCCGCTATAATCCACCCTGCCCTCTTTCTTCTAACCCTATTCTCACCTAATCCCACCCTGTGCTGCCTGGTCCTTACGCGTTCCTAACCAGTCAAGGTAACGAGCCCTCTTTAGCAAGCAGCTGAATGTACAGTTCCTAGTGTCAAGGCACATTCGCAAAGCTTTTGCTGCAACTCTAGTGACATTGGAGGGGCACGACCTGAACACCCAACCCTGAAACTGTGGTCACCCCATCACAGGCTCTCCTCCTCCTCGCAGGAAAAGCATCAAGTTTCCCAGCCACAAAAGATACAAGCAGCTGTGCTAAAATCAACATAAGGAAACCTTGGAGAACGCAACAGGCACCCAAGTGTGGGATCACCCATTCTGCATCTCGACCCATGTCCACACTGACCCCAATTAGCTCGACTGTCCAGTGGGCTAGAAGGTGGTTCGGATTAATGGCAACAGCGCAGGTTCTATTCCTGTTCCGGGTGTGTAGACTTGCCATCTTGTCTGCCTGATGCTTAATGCGGAATAGGGGGTCACTGATGCTCTATAATCAATTGTCTCCCTAATAGAGGGAGTTGCCACTGGTGCCGAGGGCACAATGTTTCATTATCCATTCAGACATCTCCACTTTCACTCTGACACTGCCAACTCCTACTTTGGCTGGACGGAGAATGGCATCTGAGTGCCCCTTCTGCTGAAAACACCAATGCTCTGACTGTGACTAAGGGCTTGCGACCCCTCTTATAAAGATGTATTATCCAAACTCTTAAAATGTGTTTTATAACAGACTGGACATATATTGAACATTTTCGGAAAGGATGTTTTGCAAGCTGGCTTTGAGGGGGGGATTGCTGGGTGCCTCTCTGAGGGTTTTTCTCACTGAGCAGACAGGACATCAAGGCAATGCCTGCTGGCCTCACAACCTCCGGACAACAGGAAGGTGGGGGTAAAGGGTGATTAAAACAAAAGTTCCCAGTCCTCTGCAATGTGCTACTTCACCCCACCCCAGCCCACCCTCATCTGAGAAACGTGGATGCCCAGGCCTCACCAGGTCAATAATATTGGGTCTGACTATGTGGCCAAACAGAGCTGCCATCAATAATAGTGACCACCTACATCTTGTGTATCTGAGCCAGGAGTCTCGGGGTTTGGGACTAAAAGTGTGTGGAGAAGCAGGAAAATGTGAGGGGAACAATGAGGCAGGGTACAAGGCTTGGCCCCACACAGCAAATCTCCCTGTTCTCCACAGGAGCACCAGTCTCATTCACTGAGAATAACAACCCTGTCGCCTTCAATGAAGAGAAGAGCCTGCACGCTTTCCTCTTCTGCTATTTGGCATGTCAGATTCATTTAACCTTTTCTCACAGCCCAATGACCTCCAATTGTTCTCCTTGCTCACCATCACGGCAGACGCCAGGTGAAGTGAAGTGTGTGAATGGAGCAGCTGCTTTGTAGTAGCTCACACTGAACACAGCACCTTTCCAACATGCACCTTTCACAAGCACCAAGCTAGGTGACAGGAGGCGAGGTATGGGGAAGGGCTGACGACAGAAGGCTGGGCTTCGAAACAGGAGGGGCAAGGCACACCACATGGTGAGGGAACAGAGGACACAGTCTCCAAGTCAACTCCAGGCCCTGCCACATCTGGTAGAACAGTGGAGGTAGCTGCATAAAAGACCAAGAGGGAAGCCTCGACAAGGGGGGTGGGCACAGGCTTAAAACAGGCAAGAGAAGCAACAACAAGTGCTTCAGATCACCTCTGAGACAGTACGGCAGGACCACGTTGCCTGAAAAGGAAGAATGTGCAAGGCTATGGGGAGAAGCCAGGAGAACTGCACTCAGTGAACTAACTTATTTGGTGAGCCGGTACAGGCACAGAGGGACCAAATGGCCTCCCTTCTGCACTGTTAATAAGGCTGTGATCCTGAGAGTGGTGTCGGAAAACTAAAGGGTGGGGCCGAGATGAGGCAAAGAGGTGGCTGAAGGGAGGGAAAGGATTGGAGGGGTTTGGAGGCGAGAATGCCGAGTGGTATGACAGCGCGGACAGACCTGAGAAACAGAAGCCAAGCTTTGGAAGGGCAGGGGAGGGGCAACGGAACTAATGGAGGGGCAGGACATGGGCAGTGTTTGTTTGAACATGTGTCTACTTGAGGAATGCTTGAAACTGGGAACACAACACAGTTATTTGTAAATCTAGCAGGAAGTTCAGGAGATATGCCTTTAGCAAGCGAATGGAAGTTTACCACCAGGAGGATTTGAGGCTAGCAGCATTGATGTATTCTTGGAGAAGCTCAGAGGGTTACGGTCACAGACTGTGATGAAGTGGGTTGAGAGGTAACGCTGCCACAGGATAGTCTGGCGTTTTCTGGTGCTGAAAGTAGGCAGCCTCACACCTTGCCTCATTAGTCCCTTCGCCTACAACACTCTCTCAGGTTTGATGTTCATGATAAGCCTGTAGGCCCAAACCTGCTCTCAGGATCAGTTTGATTCAAGAGTAACAAGTGGGTGAACCACACCAGTCAGGTAGCAGTAACATATTGTGGTCTTCCAAAGAATGAGCTGCTCCCAGTGCCCATTCCCTTCAGAAAGGTGCAGCTAGCTTGAGGAAGTGATGGGACTTTGGCAGAGATGATCGCAGTAGCGTTTACCTTGCCCAGAGACCTGCATTCCCCTTCCAAAAGTAAACAATTCCACAATGGTATCAGCCAGTGTTCTGACTCAGTCGGTAATGCTCTGCATTGAATCCAGACAGATTGAAGTGCCAGACTAGATTTGAGACGAAACTTCAAGTTGCGTTCCTATCCACTCCTTCAAATGAATGCAGACAATCTGTTGTGTTCAAAGACGACCAGGGTATTCTTGTGGTGCCCTGTCCAAAGCCTCTCCCTTGGCACAGGTTATCCCATTTCCAATTACACAGTAGGCTGTAGGATCTTGCTGTTCTCAAAGTGCTAGCCTGCATTCCCAACAATGACCACAATTCTGTAGGTACCTCACTGACTGAGAAATGCTTAGAGATGGGGCAAGATGCCCATGTCCTATCTTTTCTAGGTAATGCCAGCTGACACTGGTATTGTCGGGCCGTGTTTAAACTGAAGCTCCATTTCTGGGCTCCGTCAGTCAATGGAAGCGATGGGTGATTGGAGTACAGACATGACAGTGCCGCAGTTTCTAAAGATGGCCTGTTCGCTGTCTTGATGAAAAATGACACAAAATCTCCAGAGTTTCACAGAAATACACTGACAAGTAATTCTATTATTACAGCTGCAAGTAGCCTCCAGGGATCCAGGCACTACTAGCTATCTCATCAATCTCTCAATGCCCTCAACTCCCAAAGTCATTTCCCCAGGTTTGCACTGATAGTTTAAGGGCACTGGGGGCAGCTCATTCCGGCTTTTTTCTCCCAAGTGCTGTCAGGGTAAGCACAAAATCCTACTGATCACTTTTGCCTTGGTCGGTTTGACAATTTAAAAACCGATTTCAGGTTTGCCCTGGTATTTATGACAGCACACACTTGTTTAAACCCTCCCTAACCTCTCCCTTCCTCTCCTGAAGGTGCAGACTCTCACACAGGGACACCCTCCTCCTCTCATTCACTCACTATAATGTGGAGGTGCCAGTGTTGGACTGGGGTTGACAAAGTCAGAAGTCACATGACACCAGGTTATAGTCCAACAGGTTTATTTGAAAACACAGGCTTTCGGAGCCTCGCTCCTCCTTCAGGTGTTAGTGAGAGAGGTCGTATCAGACACAGAATTTATAAGTAAAAGACCAAAGACCAAACCTATAGTTCTCTCAGGACCGTGACTTGAAAGGAATTCGGGGATTTACATATACATATTAATCAAATAAAACCTTCTAACTGATTAAAAAGTTAACAGCATCTTAGGTTTGTTTAATACATCCTCATCAATGGTGTGAACCTTTGATCTTTTACTTATAAATTGTGTCTGATACTACCTCTCTCACTCACACCTTAAGGAGGACCGAGGCTACGAAAGCTTGTGTTTTCAAATAAACCTGTGGGACCATAACCTGGTGTCTTGTGATCTCTGACTTCACAAATGCTAGCTTTAGAACGATGGTCAGGGATAGGTATCCAGAGGGATATGCATTTCTCCCCCACTACTAAACTGTTATGATGCAGCATTGTTTGCGGATTCAGAAAGCAATCAGGACTACCTGGCTCACTGCATTAGGGTGCTGTCAATTTATGTGTCAATATTCCATCAAACACTCCCAGCACAGAACTATATACAGAATAAAACTAACTCTACTCTTTTAAACTGCAAAGTAAAACTCGCCTGACACAGTCCCCATCAAACACTCCCAGGATAGGGACAGCACATGGTTAAATATAGAGTAAAGCTCCTACGTAGCTTGTTAATTTTTTTTTCTGAATTCATTTGATTTGCTACGGAAGCTGTTACTGCATTAACAGTGGTCTATGAAAACTCAAACTGCTGAACACAATCATTCAGGTTCTAATGTTGTCCAATGATTTCACAATAGCGTTGTCGAGTCTTGGCAGTCAATACAATTTCGTGAATGAGACAGTTTCAAGAACAAGATCATGCCAGTCCTCAATTAGCAACATGAAATTATAACTGGTATGAAAACATTACTATGCAATTAGATCATAACTCAAAGAAAATGCAACTTCTTATACTTCAGTGCCTCCGTGTCTAGTGGATGAAGCCTGAAGTGGCTGTGAGTTCAGTCATTTTTTTTGTCTTCGTCAGCTCTATATTGCATCGCTGCAGTGCCAGCCTCTCCAGCACTATCAGGAGCTGTCCTTCAGGGCAGCATTAACCTATATCGAGTCTGCCATCTGCTTGTTCTCTGACACTGATATATTGTGACAGTGGACCTTCACTGGGTGCATGTGATGAGCTTGTGAGAAGCAGCAGTCTTCAGCCAATGCCTTACCTGCACCTGTCATCGGAGACCTTTCAGCTAGGTTCGCTGGGAAGCAATGGTCTCACATGCAAAGCTGGTTTTTCCCCACTTGCCCAAAGGTTGGCTTTAGTCAGTGACGCTGCTCATGTTTCTGCTGAATTTGAAACCTCTCCTTGGCCCAACTCTCTCATGCGCTGTTCCAAACTCATCTTCCATCCTGGCCTTCGCCACCTTCTGCCAATACTGGCACCCCTTTCTCATTAACCCCTCTCCTGCCAGCGTCTATCGAATGCCCAGCCGGTCTGCCTTGTGCAACATGCTCTAAACCCGTCCCCACACCCACCTCTCCAGCAAGCCTCAGCCCCAATTCCCTTCCCACCCATCGCCTCCATCCTCAGCCTATTCCCTTCTCTCCTGCTCCATGCCCAGCAATCCACTTCTAACCCTAGCCCACAATCTGCCCCCTGCCCCTTTTCGTAAGTTGACTCACCACGTACCTTGGTTATAAAATGTAAACGGATCACAAGAAGATTTAAAGATTTCATGAACATTCACTTTGCATCACATCTTGTGTCCTTCCACATCTCATGCAATACTACACCTTTCACCTCAGAGCTTTCTAATATTCCCTCATGTTTTCCCTTTTCTGAAAGAGGCACTGAAAGTGGGTTCCAGGGCTACTGGAGTCAGCTGAAGGGTCGCGGTGTAGCTACAGTGACAGTGGGGTCAGCTGGAGGGCCGCGGTGGAGCTACAGTGACACTGG